GTGCTAGCTAGCTTACACCTACGGCGCCAAGGTACACTAGGGTTCGCAGTTCACGTGGGGCCCAGTACTGCTTTTGGCTAGTATGCAGCAGGAACCTAAGCCACGCGTCCGTGAGGACAAGTACCGCCCACTGAAGTGCAGGTACTGAAGAGTTCGTCCCCTAAGTGGTGGCGATGTATAGTACGCTATCTAGGTATCGTAGGGTACAGTAAGGGTGCGCACCACCCAACCTATAGGAAGTGAATGTGAGTTTGTGGGAGTCCCGAGGGACGCCGGCAGCTGTGGAGAGTTTCGACCTAATGTCGCGACTTGAGGTCAAGCGACAGGGGAAGATCTGAAAGCTGGGGGCGTCCGACTAAATCTCACCGAAGCGATGGTGAGCAGCGCTCAAACCTAAGGCTAGGGACAAGATAGTATATTAGTTAGTTAAGTAAGAAAGGAATACAAAGGGGGGCTTACTGACCTAGGGACAAGAGGTCGAAACTGAGGTCCCTAGGGCAGCAGAGGCCGGCTTATATACATGGGGAGATTAGGGCAGGCTGTGCATGTTGGTCCGTGCGCAGCTGGTCTGTGCGCAGCATGCCGACGCGGCCCCGGGGGCCGGTGAGTCAGAGCGGCTGTGTCAGCGGGGCCCGAGCTGTGCCGTGCGCTGCCGCCCCATCTAATCTAATCGTACAGTAGATAGTGATGCGTCCATATCAGGCAGGTAGTACAGAGGTCGCGGGTTCGAGCCCGCGAAAAGGAAAAATTAAAAAACGGCTAGGCGCCGTGCCAACTCGTGACACTCACGGACGCGTGGACTAGGTTCCTGCTACATAATAGTCAAAAGCAGTACTGGACCCCATGTGAACTACGAACCTCAGGGTCTTCTCGGGCACCGTAGCGTAAGCTAGATTAGCACGGCCTTTCGTAGTACATGCACCTTCCCGTCCTCCCCCCATCCAACGTGGCTGCCTGCCAGGGCCAAGTTCACGCATTCGACTCGCAGGACCTCATCGACGTCTACATCCCAGACGGCCCTGAGACTGTCATCTACCGCTGTGAGCAGCAGCCGTGCCCCAACCGGACACCCCGATCGATCGCGGAAGATTACCCGCGCTACAAGGTGATCCGACGAGCGCAACACCTGCTCGGACCCCAAAGCACCCTTGCATCTTGATCTGCCTCGCGGCACTCTCGCCCTGTCTCCCCTACCTCCCGCCTCCCTCAAACTGTCGTCGATCAAGCGCGAGGAGATTTCCCTCCAGACCCTGCGCCAGAGCCTGAGCCTGAGGAGGGTACGGGTGAAGAAGGAGTCTCGGAGTCCGAGTCCGCGGTTCCTGATCGGCCCACCTCGCCGACAGCGTTCGCCCCCGCGTCAGCAGTCCCTGACGTACGTGACCCCCCCACCGAACTTCCTCCGGTGCCTTCACTGCCGACTCCGCCGAGAGGCCGCTCGAGCACTCGCTCCTCTCGAAGTTTGACCAGCGGAGGGCCACCACAACCGCCTCCGCCCCCGCAGCGTCCTCCGTCCCCCCCAACGCCAATAATGTCGTCCCTCGTAGGCGCCCCCGATAAGGAGACTTTGAAGCTTCTTCTCCCGCTCTGATACGATGGCAAGACCGTCATTGAATGCGACAGGTTCCTGTCGCAACTACGCATCTATTGGTTGATCAACACGTCGTTGACAACCATCAAGCTCAAGGTGCAAGTTGCGTTGAGCCTGCTCGACGGTGACGCCCGTGCCTGGGCCACCCCCATCTTCTCCCAGCTCGCCTCCGTCCAAATTGGGATCCAAGGAGCAACGACCCCCTTCGCCGATGAAGCAGCCTTCCTTAAAGCATTCAAGGCCTGCTTCGGCAACCTTGACGACGCCGCCGCAGCACAAGTAGAGCTCACTAAACTCTGTGCCGACAAAACCATGCACGAGAAGCGCACCGCTGCAGAGTTCTCTGCGCTGTTCAAGGGTCCAGCAGACCGCTCTGGGTATGGGGACCTGGAACTACGCAACAAGTACCTGAGTGGCATCCCCTCCTACGTGTATCGCAAGATCGAGCTCGAGACCTTCACCACGTGGCGAGCAGCTGAGAAGCGTGCCACTGAGGTCGAGCAGATCCTCGACATCAGCCGGGCCCATCGGCCCGAGCTGAACAACTTCTTCTCGGCCCGAGGTCGAGGACGTGGAGGGGCACGTGGTGGTGCACCCCAGTCACACGCAGCTTCGGCCAGCATCAATGCAGCCTTCGGAAAAGGAGACTTCCCCGGCAGTTGTTTTGGCTGCGGGAAACAAGGGTACCAACATTTTGAGTGCCCCAACTGTAAGGACAAGCCTTACACAAAATGCGCTGACACGCGGGCTACAGTTGCCTCGGGTTCCACCCAGGTGGTGACAAGCGCCCCCGTCGCTTCATCCTCGGCGAGTACAAGCGCTGCTTCAGCGAAATCGGATAGTTCTGAGCTGGCGGACTTGATAGCACAGATGAAGTCGATGCACGAGGAGCTCGAGCACTATTGGGCAATGAAGGAGGAGTCTTTTTGATCCGGTCCGCGCTTCGTGCCGCACGCGTCGGGCCGCGTAGTAATAATCTGTACAATGTATTGGCGACCGCAAATGTGTACGAGTTGGACCATGGGTCCCAGCATTTCTACATCCCGGTGCGCCTCCAAGAAAAAAGACAGCACAAGGGCATAATCGCTATGGTGGACAGCGGAGCCACTACGAAGTTCATCAACAAGCAATACAGAAACTGAAAGAACCAATTCTGCTTTACAATATCGATGGAACGCTCAATAAAGATGGAAGCATCTCGGAGGTAGCCGTGCTACAGATGCAAATAGGAGATCACGTCGAAAAAACAGTATTTACGGTCACGGACATTGGTCCGAAAATGTGATTGTTGGGTTGGATTGGCTACGCAAGCACAACCCTGAAATTGATTGGGAGTCAGGCTCCCTAAAGCTATCACGATGCCCTGAAATGTGCAGTGCCAGCAAGACCGGCCGGATGGAGCAAGCAGCAACTGCGCATGACACGGGGGTCAGGCCCACGGTGTGCAGGCGTTTGCCAAAGTCCAAATGGTCGGTCATAGGTGCCTGCCGGAGCAAGGTGCTCCCGGACTTCGAACCCAAAGAAGATCCGGTGGAAGTAAAGTGGGATGAGGCCGATTTGATCGAAGCCTGGGAGCAAGGTATCACGCTTCCCGGCGCTCCTCAGCTGTTCATCGCGGCAGGGCATATGTACTCCCAGCTGTTCGCTGAGGAGGAAATCAAGAAGAAGGTCATTAAGACTGCCAAGGAGTCAGTACCTAAACAGTACCACAAGTTCCTGAATGTCTTCTCCAAGGAAGCATCAGAACGGCTAAGAACGGCTACCCTAAAGAAAGCCTTATGATCACGCAATCGAACTTGTGCCTGGCTACTCGACGTTCCACTCGAAGGTGTATCCCCTGTCGAGCAACGAGCAGGAGGAACTGGACAAGTTC